GAGGCCGACTGGGGTTCAAGGAGACAGAAGCAGCGACACAAAAAGCAGCTGTAAAAGGCGGTCCCATTACGGAAATACGCAGCCAGGTAGGCGAGCTCCGAGCCAGCTTCCATGCCAGAGGACGAAGAGCACATCCATTCAGTCATGGTCAGAGAAACAGGACCACACTGGAAAACAGGCCGATCTCCAGCATCTATAAAAATTGACCTATAGATGCTTATTTATGCAGCTAGAACAGCTTCAACTTTTCTGGGAAGGCTGTCCAAAAGGTTTAGGAGGGTTTATGGTAATTTTTGGACATTTTTCCAAAGGCGCATTTGTGATGTCACACCCTGATGTTGGACAACAAGGCGTTGCTCTTAATCTCCACTCTAATTCATCCCAAAGGTGTTCAATCGGGTTAAGGTCAGGAGTCTGCGCAGGCCAGTCAAGTTCACCCAAACCAGAATCTGCCATCCATGTCTTTGTGGACCTTGATTTGTACTCAGTCACGCTCAGTCATACTTGAAAAGGAAGGAGCAAGCTCCAAACTGTTCCCATAGAGTTGATCGGATGAACTGGTCCAAAATATCTTGGTATGCTGAAGCATTCAGAGTTAAAAGTATTTTATTTGTGGTTTTTATTGATTGTGAATAAAAGATTAGCCTCTGGAACGTTGTTAATATCTGCTCCAGGTTCATAGGAGTTTAGCTGAGAGACCTGGGATTTCTCTGGAAAATCCGGCCGCGACGAAAGGCTAAACATGTTTATGAGACATTCTGACGACACTCCTGGTCAGGAATTCTGTCTAATGCCCGCAGGACGACGCTACCTTCTGTCCCCTAGGAAACCTAACAGCTTTATTTAGCTTTTATTCCTTCTGCCATCCGGTTTTTGAATAATGCTGACAGCACTAACTAGACATGGGCCAGGCATTTTAAACCATAGTCCCTGCCTGGTCCATGTACTGTGGTCTCTGTATTTGCTTCTTTTTAGTGTTGTCCAAATGCAAGATGATTGTTATTGACAGCGTTTCTGAATGCTTGACTGATTGTTGTCTTCTGTCTTTTTGTTATGACTGTTAGGCTAAAACTGAATTAAATAAAGTAGTTTGATTTGATTTGTATTTAATTAGAAAAGTGGAAAAGTCTAAAAATATTTTTAACACCCAAGAAACCTGGCATTTTAAGTGGAGTTTGTAAACCTTTGAAATCCACTGTATCAGTAAACACTGGGCATGGGCAGGTATGACATTTCCCGCATTTAATACAATTCTACATTTATTTATTAATGAGAATTTAGCTTTGACTGTTGAAAGTCAGCCATAAATGATCGTAGTTTTTACTTTTATATAGTGGTTTAGATTTTTTAATATGGCCATATTTTTTAGAAAAACATTATCCTAATCACAATAAATTCTTTGGTTACTTAATAGCAATTCCAAGGAGTTCCTGCCTGTCTTGTAAAATAGCTCACTATAGACGCTTAAAAAGATTATAAATATTAAAAATAAGAGTGAGAGATGCAGTAGAGCTCTGAACCAGAGAGAAGAGGGGAAACTTCCTCTTGCAGTTTTATAAAATTAGTTAAAGCATCTTAGAACGCTTTGGAATCTAACAAGATTCCAACAAAGTTTCAAACAAAACTAAATTTTGTTTCCAAGTTTGAAGACATTTTGCTTCCCATCCAGGAAGCTTTCTCAATTCAAAATGTCAGAAGTAGCATTTGAGTTCCAGGCTTATAGAGTAGCCCAAACAAAAATTTTGTTTTGGCTTAGAAAACATGCAAATTGAACTGAAAAAAAACAACATATTCTCATTATCAGTTCGTATGAAATCGTACGAAGTTATGCGCAGTATTTCGTACGTTTTTGACGTTTTTCCTCATAAAAACAGATCAGTGCGCATGCGCAACCAGACAGACGAAAAAAGCAGATCCGCGGACGGACGTAAAACTGGGAAAAACAGTGCAAAAATGACTTCTTCATGTCTCTAACTACGTTGCTTGCTGTTTTATATCTTAGGGTTAGGGTTAATTGTATGTTAAATTCTATGTTATTGAATGGTGCGTAA